TACGTACGTATAGTGCGATGCATTGCGAGTGTGGCAGCTGCTCCCCGTCCCGCTGGAGTCCCAAGAGGGGATGGCGCGACGGGTATCAACAGATGAAGCGCTGCCGCGGTGCAGGCCGTGCGGGGCGTGTTCAGCAGACTGACTCCGAGAGTCTTTTTCGTCGCTCTGTCTCTCTCGCACCTCTAGGGGACGCCCCGTGTGTAGGAGAGAGACAGAGCGACGAAATCAGTCTCCCGGTCGCGTCGTCGGGGCCGTGCGAACCGCGACGCCCAACACGGCACGCGGCGCGCCCTCCCGGCATCGCACTCCCGAACCTGTCGTCTGATTCCGAGAGTCGTTTTCATCGCCCTGTCTCTCGCTCCTAACAGGGGAACGTTTTCAGGTGTCAGGAGCCGATTGCTCCCATACTTTGGGATCTTAAAGACCATTTCAAGAAAGAATTTTCGGCACCCACAGTTCGTGCTAAAAGTCGGGCACTACAACGCCCTAAAATGAAAGTTGAAAATTGACCAATTTTCATAAACTTGACCAAAAAATTTAACTTCAAAGAACGTCCATGAAAGCAGATGATTCTTAGTTCCCGACGAAAAAATTTAAGAGCAGAAATTACAATTTGCCATGGTAATTGTTTTAGTTTGAAAAGGTCTTATGAATTTTCCCAGCCTATTAAAAATTGAAAATGAAATATATTGGATCAGAAGAGGTTTTCCAAGGACCCACAGCACCGTGCGGGACACCATTACCCCTGCCACACCGCAGGACCTCTGACGATCCGAGCCTATCCTTTCCTCGTTTCGTTGTTTTTGTTTTTGGGGGTGGAGCACAAATACCCTAGGACATCTCGCAAGTGCCCGCGCCCGCGTACAAGCTCAGTGGGGCTGGCTAGGAGGGTCATCGAGACGGTGCTCGGAAGCGGCCCTCTGGCATTGCGAGAGACTCTGAAGAGGCAACTCGCTCGCTTGCCCTCGCTAGACTTAACCTCATTGGGGAACTCGCTAGGCGCAGACGAGCAAGTACGACAAGTCGAACAAGAAGCTGGCTAGAGGCCCACTGGAAGTTTGGAGGCTCAACTGGAGCCAGGCACGCCTGACCTTTACACCCGAGGAGTCGCCACAGTCCCCAAAGGCTTGCCAGAGCAAGCGCCGACCCAGGCAAGGTGCACCCTCAGAAACAGAAACAAAGGAACGAGAAGAGGGTAGGAAAACAGGGATTCCGCAAGATCGTGCAGTTTGCGAAGTTGATTTCCTTACTGTTCAGGTTTGACCAAACAGTGGTGAGTGGTGGGGTGGATTTCGGTATGACCCGCGGTGGCAATGCCAACGGCCTAGCAACACTAGGAGTGACAACTCGAAGTGACACACGCACTTTCGCCGTGTGACCCGACTGACTGGCCACTGGCCGCCGTCCGACGGCTTGGCCAAAACGGGCCGGCCCTGACCTTGAACTTTCATTTTAGGGCGTTGTAGTGGCTTTCAGCACGAACTGTGGGTGCCGAAAATTCTTTCTTGAAATGGTCTTTAAGATCCCAAAGTATGGGAGCAATCGGCTCCTGACACCTGAAAACGTTCCCCTGTTAGGAGCGAGAGACAGGGCGATGAAAACGACTCTCGGAATCAGACGACAGGTTCGGGAGTGCGATGCCGGGAGGGCGCGCCGCGTGCCGTGTTGGGCGTCGCGGTTCGCACGGCCCCGACGACGCGACCGGGAGACTGATTTCGTCGCTCTGTCTCTCTCCTACACACGGGGCGTCCCCTAGAGGTGCGAGAGAGACAGCGCGCGACAACGCCTCTAGAAATCAGTTGGCACGGTTGGCACTGCAGCGCACAGTGGGCCAGAAGACCGGTGGAGGCGGCCAAAACTCTAGACGCGTTTTGAGCCCCAGAGTCGCTAAATGGGACTCGAACCGAACGTGTGACCCCACCAATGGATTGCTCTCTGAACAAGGAATCCATGGGTGGGATCACACGTTCGGTTCGAGTCCCATTCGGCGACTCTTGAGCCCACAACGCGTCTAGAGTTTTGGCCGTTTCCACCGGTCTTCTGGCGCAGCGCCGCGGGGGTGCGGCCCGGACAGGCCTGGCCGCCTTGACGCGATAAACACAGCACCGCGTGGATAACGCGTTATCGGGAAAAGTGCGAAACGTCGTCCTCGCCCGACGGCGGAATCGCGGAATCCAATCCGTCACCGCGACACACACGCATCGGCCTCGTCGGCGTGCGGCAAGTGCCAGCGGGACCTGGCCGTCGAAAGGGTTGATTGCGCAGCGCGGTCGTCCGATCAGTCTCTCTCGCGCCGACTACCACTCCCATGAGTGCTAACGAGAGCGAGAGGGAGTCAGGAGGGAGTGCGGCCCCCCGCGGAATCAGTCTGCAGGGCCGCTCACTGCCGCCTGTTGAGTAAGCGCAGCACGTGTGTGAAAGGCGCACAGTGGGCCAGAAGACCGGTGGAGGCGGCCAAAACTCTAGACGCGTCTTGAGCCGCAGAGTCGCTAAATGGGCCTCGAACCGAACGTGTGACCCCACCAATGGTTTGCTCTCCGAACGAGGAATCCATTGGTGGGGTCACACGTTCGGTTCGACGAAACGGTATCCCTGCAGATGAATAAGCAAGCACCCGCAGCCCGTTGGGTTGCCTGGCGCCCCAGTGCAGAGCCACCGGGTGGCAGGGGCAGGCCTCTGAGACCGCAGATTGCTCCTTGCGCTTCTTTCTCCCCTGTACGTACACAACGCCCTGTGGCGAAACGTGCCTTGGAGATCGGTCTCAGCACGCCGACGCTGACGTCAAAATTCACACCCCCTTGCCAAACGCGGTGATAAGGAGTGCGGCTGGAGGGCGAGGCGTTCGAGAGTCGTCGCTCCGTCTCTCTCGCACCTCCACGGAACGCCCCACGAGTGCGAGAGACAGCGAGGAAAACGATTCTCAATCTGTCGAGCCATTCAAAAGATCGGTTAGTCGCTGTGTCTCTCCCGCACCCTTACGAAGAGCCCCTTGAGTGCGAGAGAGACAGAGCGACGAAAGGGCTCTTCTGAATGGCTCGGCTGCTGGGCTAAGCGGCGAGGGCCAATACGTCCGCCCTTCCTTCTTCGCCAGGCCGCAGTGCGCGGGGTCAATCGCCTCGCATCGCGGGACCGTGATCCAGATCCGCTGTAGGTGGTCGCAGTGGTCGCTACCCCCGGCCCGGCGTCGAGGCGTCCAGCGAGAGCCGAGCTCCCAACAGCCAACGCCATCTCGCGGCGACTGCTCGAACCACAACCGCGGCGCGCTCGGCGCCAAAATCAAACGGAGCGCGCGGCGACCAGCAGCGACGCCCTCTGCCGGGGACGCCGCGAAGCACCGCGAAGCGAGCGCGGGAGGGGGCGGGGCGCCTAGAGGGGCGCCTTGCCTGCCTTGCCTGCCTTGCCGCCACGCCCCGCCACGCACCCTACACGTGTACTCGAGCGGTCCGGGTCAGTGACCGTGGCCACGGGTACCCCCCCCCCCACTCCCCCGCCCCGCGGCTGGTGACTACGCGTCCGGATGGGTTAGCGTTCGGCCTCTACCCGACGACCCGCGACTGATACCCATGTGCAAGCCGCGGTTGCCCCGCTACCTTGCGACCCTCGAGCGGCAAAGGCAAAGGCGAACAAGAATGGCGATTCCGTCGCCGAGCCGCACCGACAGGAATCTTCGGTTCGGACAGTCGCCTCGAAGAGTTCCCATGGCCCGACCCGAATCCGCCCGGGGCGGGAAGGACCAGCGATCGCTGCCCGGCCGACCGGCCGGCCGGCCACATGTGTGACGTGGCTGTTTAAATGCCCTCAAGGACAGCGGGCCCCGGCCGGCCGGCCGTAAGAGGCCCGCCGCGGCACGGCTCGGCGTTCGGCGGGGAAGAGAGCGGCCGCGGCTCGCGAGCCCGCGAGGCCTAGCAGTCAGCCCGACGGGCCGACGCCGCTTTTGGCAGGTACCCGCCAGGCCATGCCGGCGACAGACGGCGATAGCGCCACGTGCGGCGCGCGCCAGACTGATTCAGAGAGTCGTTTACGTCACTCTGTCTCTCTCGCACTCATGGGGCGTCCTGTATAGGTGCGAGAGAGACGGAGCGACGAAAGATAGGCGATAGCCCACAGTCCAAAGACGCCCCCTTGATGGCAACCGGGGCGAAACCCAAACGCACGCAGGAGTCAGTTACGTCCTAGCCACGGCCATGCCACGGCAATGCCACGGCGGTCGTCCCAGCCCGGCCGGCAGGGCCGAGCAACGGCCGACAACAAAGAACAAAGGGCAAGGGCCTGCTGCGCTCGCCGCTCGCTGCCGGCCCGGCCAGCACCTTTCTCCAGAGTTTGGACCGGGAGGGAGTCTGGGCCGAGCCGAGCCAGAGCCAGCGGGTCCAGCGGGCTGCGGGAGTCCTCACGGAGTCCTCCTGGTCCAGCGGCACGGGGCAAGGCCTGCACGGCCACGGCACAGCGGCCAGTGGGCGGCATTCCCGGCCCAGTCGTTGACCTCTCCGCCGCCGCCGCCTCCTCTCCGTCGGCCTCCGTCCGGTCGGCCCCTTGCGCCGCTTGCGCCTTGGGGCCCAACGGAGTAAAACAACCAAAAGGGCTAGGCGGCGTGTAGCGTGGAGCGGGGCCGGCAGGACGGACCAAGTCCAAGTCCACGGGGCCGAGGGCCTGCCCCTGCCGCCACGCCCCGCCGCCGTGCCGTGCCCTGCCCTTCGACTGGCAGTGGGCTTCCCAACCGACCTGGCCAATGGGACAGGCAGACGCCTCATGGCAAATGAGGATTAGCCATCGCAGCTGGCCGTTCAGGTCGCTCCAACACGAGAGGAGTCTGCTTCGCAATGCTTCGCAGGACCACGCCACGCCCCCGTGGCCCGTTCAAGGTCAGGCAGGCCAGGCAGGCCACGGGGGGGCAGCTCAACACCCAGCTCTACGGCACTCAAATCGAGTTCATTCCGACAACGCCGGGCGCACAGGCCTCTCTGTCTGGCTGAGAAAATCAAAGCACCCCATGCAACACTCACCACTGAAACGCATTGTAGTGGAAGTAGACTAATCCGAGGCCGTACAGGAATGTGGGATCCTTCCAGTGATCAGTTTTCAGATAAAAAAATCGCTGATACGCTGACAGAGCTGAAAAAAAAATTCAAACATCAAATTAGCCATGCAGTTGATTTTAGGGCAGGAACCAATATAGTTGTTAATGTCAACAGATAAATACCTTTAGGATAATCTTCAAGAAGAAGGTGGAAATGACCCAGTTTACAATACGTCTTCGGATCGATGTTTATGTTTTTGTCACTTTCGCTCAGTCTTTTTAAATCCTCATCTTCTTCATCATCCTCATCGACATCTCCATCAGCTTCCTCTTCATTTTCATCGTGGTCAGGAGCAGCAGCATCAGTGCTATCACAGTCCTGGGTAGTTGGGTCACCAACATTGCTTTCACATTCTTGAGTTGGGTTTGATGTTTCACCCTGTTCTTCTTTCTTCACTATACAATCTGCCTTATCACTTCCTTCCAACTGCTCAGATCCCTCAGCTACACTGTCACCCTCTTTCTCATTTGTTTCCCTTTCCTTGCTTACAGGATCAACATCCATCTCCTCCTTTTCTTTACTTGTTTCCTCTGAGATACAATCGTCTACATTCTCAATTTTCACAACAGCAAGATCGAGCTTCTCAACAGTATCGCCACTGCCGCTGCTTTGAGGAGTTTCTGGGCTCTCTTTCTGAACGTTTTCCTTCGGCTCTGTAGATGCACTCTCTTCAACCTTCTTGTCAGAACTTTCGGTTATATCTTTTTTATCTGGTACACCTTGAGGTGGTACAGTCTTGTTATCACCAACTGATACATTTACCTCCGTTTCCCTCTTGGCAATTTTATTCGGATCTTTTTTCTTCCTTTTAGGTGCTGAAGGCTTTTTAAATTCAGTTTGCATCTTGTCATTTTGAGCCTGAACAAGCATCCGTTGCAAATACTTGATAGCCTAGACAGAAAAAAAGCATACAAAGAGATGTTACAAATCAGAAGACACCAATATACAAGTTCCATAAAACATTGATAACCTTTAAATTGATTCTTAAACACGAAAACATACCTTTGATACCAATGCCTTGGTTTTTGCATGTTCGGGTGCATTCAACTTTAAGAATCCGAAGAGACGACTGTAAACAAGAAAAATAAACAAACTATTAACACAGTCATCTAAAATAGGACCTATAACATTTACAATTCATAACGAGAAAGAAAAATATGGCCTGAATTGGCAGCACTTTAGATGAAAGGCAAGGTCTAACATACTGCTGATTCTAACACAAGCTAATGGAGTGACTCACAGCCCAAGACTGACCTCATTTGACTCATCTCAAGGTTTTAGCAAAATTACCAAAATGAAAGAATTAAAAGGTAAGGTGCGAATAGTATAGATAATGTGCCAGGAAGTGTAGGTATATCTTCTTGGTGAAACCTCTGAAAGTCATCAAAGCATCAAGACATAATACAAGAGAGTAAGTGGGTCGAATAACTGTTCATCTACACCCAGACTTAGACACTTCTGATGAAACACGAGTGTTCGGATGAGTTATATCAAAAGAGTAAAATCTAATTAAACGAAATTGATCAAAAATATCAAGAGAAGGGAAGTTATATAAAAAAGTAAATAAATCAACAAACATTCTAACCTTCATTTAGCGACCGCTAAGGCAATCATATTAAAGGACTCAGCAACTGAATTTCGACACGTCGATGAAGACGTTCGGCTGGATAAGACACTTGACAATTCCCACCCCTAAAAGAGTAACCTAACCATTGATCCCTACAAAAATCAGCTGACAGTGGAGAGAAAGGCACAAGAAGCCAAAGAGTTTACCTGTCAAGTTCGGAGAGCACCTGCAGTTCTTGAGGGGTTAAGTTAATATCATCATTCTCCTGCGCCATGGTTTGTGGATTTCTTGAGGAATCACACATGCTGATTGTCATGATACAAAGATCATTAGCACGAGCGAGAAATCCACATCACATCATAAAGAAGCTTTAAAAACACACACGAAACACAACATCATAACGCCCGGACGCACTGCGGCACTTCGGTGACCTCGCTCTTGGCGAACGTCAGTGATTTTGGGCTGCAGACGGGCGTGGAGTGGCACACCTGCCAACGGTCTTAAGGTCACTTAAGTCGCTCTGGAGGTGATATATTTAACAGGGATCGTCCTCGAAATGACAGGACGCGTCAAAAATCGGGCTTTGATGAAATCTTGACGAAATAAACACAAAAAGCTGTCGAATTCCAAAAGTAGGGGACTCGTTGTTAAAGAGGTTGGCACTTCCAAGAATGCCAACTGCAAAAAACAGGCTCCATGCACTCCCTCTACTTTTCGTCAGCAAAAATCTCGCACCTTTCGCTCTAGAAAAAATTTCGTTTTTCACTTTCAATTTTAATGCGTTTTCTGCTCTTTTCCTTGTGCTAAAATTAGCACCTGAACAATGGTCCCTAGCCAGTAACATTTTGTGTGGCTCGGTTTGTGAGGTATAATTCGAGCAGCTGTTAAATTTCTTTGTCAGAAGGCTGTGATCTTTCCCTTCAACGATGGCCGCCCAGATCGTGAAAAGAGCTGTAAGTTCAATGAAACTTTTTTCAATAATTCCAGCCTGTTTATAGGATTTTTACCCTTTTTTCGTAAATTTGATGCTTTTTTTACTAGTTTGATCGTTCGTGATGTTGTCAAGGCGATTCGCTGCCACTTTGTCTTGTAACGAATGCCCCTACCCCTGCAGTGCCCGTATCCTCTTGACCCACGATTCGGTCAAATTTTTCGGTGTCCTTCTCTTCTAACTCAGTGTTACCGCATGATTTTTGCTTTTTTAATTTGATTTATGTGGTTGAGTTTTTTTTTGCTGTATCGCTTAGATACTGTGTTGTACTGAATCACCAATGTAGTGGTTACTTTTTAACCACTTCCTTGTATGAACCTCACATGTTCTGCTCTGCTCATGCACTTCTAAAGTTCATAGTGTGATTGTCTTGCATTGCATTTCTATGCGTCTCACGTTCCCTTAAACTCAAAAGACACGCTTCCTAACTTTCGTCCTGAAGATCATCTTTGATGAATGTCACAAATTCTTTATTGCCTTAGTAAGACCTAATTCTATTTTCCACTAAAACATTTTGGGTGCAGTCTTTAAACAGGAGCACCATAAGTGAATGGATTAAAAGCTTGCTAACGGGTCTCAATACTGGTCCTCGCCAAGGACCCTCTTTTCAATCTGAAAACGTCATAAATGATGTAGATAAGGTATGTGACACTGCTTAATAAATTCTTGAGTGCATCAAAATGATTAGACAAGTTACGATATTTGTTCCCCATTTATTTTCAATGCACATCTGTACTATCTAACAATGAAGTACTTCTACTAAATAAGTGTCTTGCCATCATTTAAATTTTTTCAGCACAAACTAGACAATTTCACAAAAAGTAAAAGGAACAGAAAAAGAAGACTTTATTCCCATAATTCATTCATGTATCTCTTTGTTTTGTTTTAGCTTACTGCTGCCAAGCCCCTAAAAAGGCACTACAGCAGTGGTACAAGAACATGTACCTTAATTCCTGGAGATGGCATTGGCCCTGAAATTTCCGCTGCTGTCCAGAAGATTTTCCAGGCTGCCAATGTAAGCAGTTCATTTGTGGTTTGTTGAATCTTAAGTTTGCTTGGCAAATCCTGGACAGAATTTTACTTTGAAATGTAATTTATAGGTACCCATTGACTGGGAAGTTGTGGATGTCACCCCAGTTCGAGGACCTGACGGGCTCTTCAACATCCCCCAGGCTGCCATTGATTCAGTCAACAAGAACAAAATTGGATTGAAGGGTCCCCTGATGACGCCTGTTGGCAAAGGCCATCGTTCCCTCAATCTTGCTTTGAGGAAGTATGTGAAAGTGATTGTAATTCATGGTTTTTGCGTGTGTGGGTCAAGTTCTAAAGTTTATTTATTTCTTTTCCAGAGAGTTCAACCTGTACGCCAATGTGCGACCTTGCCGTTCTTTGGAGGGGTACCAGACTTTGTATGACAATGTGGATGTTGTAACCATCCGAGAAAATACTGAGGGAGAATACTCTGGCATTGAGCACGAGATTGTTGATGGAGTTGTGCAAAGTATCAAGCTTATCACTGAGGAAGCGTCTCGCAGAGTTGCTGAATATGCATTTACTTATGCAAAGGACAATGGACGTCAGAAGGTTACAGCTGTGCACAAAGCTAATATTATGTTAGTAATGAAAATTTTCATTCTGCATTTAATCCTTTTTGCAAATTTTGTGTTCCTAATTTGCAATTTTTCCCTCCAGGCGCATGTCTGACGGTCTCTTCTTGCGTTGTTGCCGTGACGCTGCAGAGGCTCACCCTGACATCAAATTTGAAGAGAAGTACCTCGATACCGTCTGCTTGAACATGGTGCAGGACCCAAACAAATATGATGTTCTGGTGATGCCCAACCTGTACGGTGACATCTTGTCAGACATGTGTGCTGGTCTAGTTGGAGGATTGGGATTGACACCCTCTGGAAATATGGGTCTAAATGGTGCTCTATTCGAGTCTGTAAGTTTTTTTTTTTTTTTTTTTTTTTTTTTTGTGTGTGTGTGTGGGTTTTATTTATCTTATCTTTTTTATTGCTCTTATGTGCTGAAATGTACTTTATGACATTGATTTACATTCCTGCATTGTGTTTCAGGTGCACGGCACAGCTCCAGATATAGCTGGAAAGGACTTAGCCAACCCAACTGCCCTATTGTTGTCTGCTGTGATGATGTTGCGCCACATGGAGCTCACCTCTCATGCCGATAAAATTGAGCGAGCAGCCTTTGACACCATCAAGGAAGGCCAATACCGTACTGGTGACTTGGGTGGAAAGGCTAAATGCTCAGAGTTTACCAATGAAATCTGCAAGAAAATTGAAGCATCATCTTGATCAATTAGACTGTAATTTTCACTCCCTTAATCTTTTGTAGGAATCAATGATTTATGCCTTTGACCCAAGTTTATGATATTTATTCTGTGCAGTCAGGCTGTGAACATCCTTGGATGAAGGGAGATCTATTTGGTGATCCCTTTTGCTTGTAACTAGTAAATATGAAAGAGTGTGATGAGTACCCACACAAATTGACTTCAATAGTGGTGAACAGTATTATTTCGGAGGAATTTTCTTGTCATTTAAAACATTGCACATTCAGTATTAATTTTGCACTCTGCTCACATCTTTGGTTGCAAATGTGAAAGTTCCAGCCTTTAAGATCACATCTTTCAAAGCTTTCTGATGAATGATTCACTTTGAAATGTAACATTAATGATGTATTTATGTTTGAAGATATGTTTTGTGCATTTGTATAATATCAGATGTGGAAGATTAAAGAACTCGCTAGGTACATTAGTATTACAGTGTTATTTAGAAGACAATAATTGAGGCTATACTGTACTTCTACATGGAGACATTTTTACCATTTCTGCCATGTAAATGAATTGTTACATCTCATCTTTTTAATTTTAATTTTGTGAAAAACTCCTATTTTAGCTGTTTAGATGCCATGTTCCTTACTTGCAGTACCCATTAATATTTTTTTAAATGTTGTGTCCAATTTTGTTTACTCTAACAAAATTTGTTTTGCTTTAAATTGCTTATTTTTAATGGTGTAACCAATTTTTGCATAGGGCAGGTTTTTTCCCTTTCAAATGAAGAGTTGTTGATTTGTGAACAACTTAAATTATTATATCATTATAAGCTCCAGTTGAGTACTGTGCCAACTTTGTTATGTGGAATTTTGGGAGTTTGTGTTCACAAAGACAATAATTCTTTCTTATGGCTACTGTTTTCTAAGATTATATTTGTATTTGTTCCTGGAATTTACCACCATTACTAGTCAATTTGTCTGGAATTGTATTGTGGAGAATTTGTGTGGCTTGGCTGGAAGACCATAACTTATTTGTTGTTGATGTTGAAATAAAGGACAGAAAAGAAAATTTCTCCTCACTTTATTTCAGAGTACAAAACAAGTCTCTTCCCAGCCCTATTGATATTTTGAGTGCCTTACAATAGTATCAGTCTCAAGGATGCCCATTTGATAAAACAAGCCAATTATAGAAAGTTTCTTTAAATGTGATTCACAGATCTGATTCGATCTTCTTAGTGAATTCACTTATTGTTAAATCATTTTCAGAAGAATAATACCTCTTCTTCAGGGTTCTGTACTTCTTGAGCATGTAAAGCGTTTCAATTTCCTTGACAACAAAATTTCCTCTGGCTATAAGCTGCTCAATCTTTTCTGGATCTTTAACGTCTTTGTTCTTCATGAAGGCAGCCTTGAGACGAGGCCTAAAGTAGTCCCAACCCAATGGATAGTCGTGACCAAGATGCACAAGCTGAAAAAAATGGAAGAAAAGAGTGTTAGGATTTTGGTGGAATAATTAACAACACATAGACGTAGAAAATAACAAACCGATTTGTAGAGGTTAATCACACGGTTTCGGTGGGCCATATTAGAAGCTTGATGTCTAAAAGGGAAAGAAATCAAAATAACACAGACAAAAGTACTAAGTTGAGAAAACACACTTTTTCACATTTGACAAATGCACCTCCTAAGAATTTTGAATGTCATGCTTACAAAGTTAACATCATGTGAAACTAACCATATCAGAAAAATTTTAATGGCATTGAGATGCTAGCAGGGTCTAAAAATTTTACAAGGTTATATCTAGGGACAGTTCGCCTTTGAACCAAACACCCTTATTTTCTGCTCGTTGATGACACACGAGGCAATGTGTTATGTGTTTTCTGTTACATGCAACTTCCCATACACTGTCGGTCTGTCCGTCCTGTCATCAGCTGAGAGCAACAGCTGACTCCTCCTACTAGGTACTCCCATTAGTCAGCTGATCTGCTGACACTGTCAGAGTTTAACGCCACTTCAAATCTTCGCAGTTCGTAGGAAAGTGAAAAATAAGAAAAATGTCGATTTGTGGACACATGATTTGAACAAAGTCGCGAAGAGACCCTAATTCACGGTCAAGTCGACGCGTCGTTTCAAAACTGGCGCCTCAAACATATCGCCAACCTTACTGAAAAAAATTTCTCTCAGGCGAAAGGTTTTAGTCCGGCAATCTCGGTAAACTCCTTTCTCGGCTTATCGGCTTAAATAGAGTTTTACATGATGCTTCGTCGTTTCAGTTGCGATGAAGAAAGGACCATGGTATCCAATCTTGAGGATGGAATGGATCTAGAGGGATAAATTAGTTCGAGCATGTGCCGAATGTTGTATTCCCCGTACTCGTTTGTCAAAAGTAGGGATTGGGGTTCGAAGGCAAAGCTCAGCGCCGCCTGGCCAGGCGTGGTGGCCACCCGCGGAACTACAAACCGATTGTGCCACGGTACTGTCAAATCGCGGAGAGCATGGGACAGCAGACGACGCCGCCGACTAAATATCGCTGACATGTCGAAACATGTGTCGTATCAGCTCTCTAAAATTCATTTGATCTTAGAAAACTTAACCCCGACAAGCGTAATAGCGTAAACGCTTGGCGGAGGCATTTATAAATCTGCTTGAACAACTGATTGGGGTCGATGGTGCTGCTCTCTGGCGGGCCCTCGAACCCCAATGGAAAGCTGAAATGAAAGTCCGGATATCTGCAAAGCGGTCAGATTTGAAAGTAATATCCGGTCTTAACCTATCCGGTTATCCGAGGTCGAAATCCGGATAATAGGCGGATATCCGGTAAAATATCCGTCTTTTTCCCTTATATTTTTTCGAAATCAAGTATCCGGTCGCAACCTATCCGGATATTAGAAGGCTGCATCCGGATAACCGGATTATCCGGACGCGGTCTTTCCATCCCTAGTCAAAAGTCGTCAAATAATTTTTTTTTTGGTCACACCTTCTAATCGGAATTATTATTTTCAATGGATTTGTTCTGTCTATCAAAAGAAACCAAAGCAACATCCTCTTTGTTTTCCCCGTCATGCTCATGACGTTCTAGTTTGTCGGGCTAGTTGTCAGAACAATGAAGTTCTGACCATTCCAGTGTGCAGGTTAGGTTGACAGATCTTTGTTTGGGTCCAAGATTGTTGTTTTTGTACTCTAGACGGCTGCGCACTTGCTCGCTACTCGTTCTCGTTAGATTCTGAGACAAATGTTGGGAAACTCCCCAATCAAGTGTTTTTAACTGTCCGTAAATCAATTCGGTTCAATTTTTTCTGCTAACTTGAGCAAGAAAGATGGGAGCCTCTGAAAGAGAGATTAGGAATGCAGCAGAAGTTTTGCTCACTGGAAGTTATTCCAGCCAATTGCCTAGCCAACCGTCACCGTACCACTTTTGTAAGTAAATTTTGTATACCCTCTATTCACCCAAGGAGGTGTCCATCCACTCCAGGACATTTTGTAAACAAACACTTCTTCAATTCATTCATTCAATTCATTTCCACCATCGCCTTTTTTTTTGCATTGAACGTGTCTATGTAATTTGTATGATTTGATTTAATTTCCATTCCTCTAATGATACTTATGACTTTCTCTCTCTAGATGCCAGCTATTTACACAATGAAGATATCTATGTTGGCCTTAGCCGCAATAACAGGATGTCTGTTGTCAGAAGATTTTTCTGCCTTCTTGTGACTTTTGATCTACTTTTGACTGGTTTAATGTGGCTCATATGTATGATGGTAAGTCAGCGTATGTTGTTTTTCCCCCCTTTTATAATGCCAACCTTCATCAAGTTCAGGCATCTAATTCATTCCATAGGAATCTTATCAAGAGCTTTCTATCGTTTAATAGTGGTGACACTCAAACTGTTGGTAGGGGTGCCTTGCCTCTACCTTTAGATTCAACACATTCAACAAACTTGAGTCGGAATGAGTCAGGAACCTTAGCTTGATACGGCTTATACATTAATTGCGGGACTAACTACTCTGTAATCAACTTTTTCAGCTGATAAGTGAAGGTGACATAGTTTTATCATTTACATCTCAAGTGGTGCATTACCATATACAAACCTCTCTGTTCGATATTGTGGTGAGTAATTTTTATTATTAGATTGCTCTGTATTGTAAAATGTTGTATAGGTATAGAGGTGATGTCGTTTTCTCTTTCATCCTGTGTAGATGGCAGCAGCATCAAGGTTTACCATTTTATTATTATTTTATGGACTCTTACAAAGTGATCATTGGTGTTCTGTTGCTGTAAGTACATAGTCACAGTTTGTGTAGAATCAGCTTCTTGATTTGGCACAGAAACATATCAAACATTTTCTCTCTCCCCTCTCTAGCTGACTACTTCAGGGACATGTGTCTTTTTGATAGCCAAAGTTTTTGTTTATGACGTGAGTTTTACCGTATTTTTAACATATTTGTGTGTAATACTTTAATCTTTTAATTTCTGTTGTTTAATCAACTTGCTATATTTGTTTCTGTGTTTCAGTGGGCTAAAGCAAGCCAACCAACTTTTCAAGTCATGCTCATACTTGTCTCTTTTGTCTTGGCCTGGGGTGAAGCTTGGTTTTTGGACTTCAGAGTTTTATCTCAAGAAATGAAAGCCAAGGAGTGCTTATTGTGTAGGTTTCTTAAATATTTTGCCTTTAATTGGCCAGTTGTGGTCTCAGTTAAAAGTATTTTTAATTTTTTCTAGCTTCTACTATGTATCAAGACAGTGAAAGAAATCCTATTATGAGGAATTATATCAACAACCTTCCAGGGTCAAGGGATAATCCAGAATCGATAGCCAACTTTTATTCTCCTATGGATTCTCCTGAAGGTAATAATTAATTTACATGTGCAAATTGTGTGGTGAACATAAGTCAGTTGTGCTTTATCTTTTTGCAGACTCTGATAATGAGGGCTGTAGTAGTGGTAACCCACAAGGACCATCTTTGACTAAAAATCAGGTATAATCATCAAACTCTTTGCTTTTGTATTTGCATTCTATTAATGAATTAATAAAGAAACTCTTCTTTAGTCACTAAATTATCGCAAGCACGCTCGAGAGATTCTGAATACAGCTTGGGCTTTGCTCAATAGTCCTGATTGGCAGCTAGAGAAAGAAACTCAAGAAGGGGATACAGTTCATTCTAAAACTGTCTCAAAGGGACCAAAAGTTTTTCGCCTAACAGCAAAGGTCCATTTGCCTGCCACACTCCTGTTAAATAAGTTATTTGACCACATAGAAGAGATGCCTATTTGGAACCCAACTGTGATAGAATCTCAACGGCTAGAGGTAATTATTGGAGCTCGTTGAAATAAATACCCTTTTGTCGATTAGTGAGAAATCAGATGAATTCATTGAACATTTTTATCTCTCTAGGTACTTGACAGTCAAACTGATATAACATATCAAGTCAGTGCTGCTGGAGGGGGTGGTGTTGTGGCCAGTCGAGACTTTGTAGTTCTCCGGCATTGGGAAATTAAAGATCATACCTATGTGTCAGCTGGTGCATCCATAGAGTACCCTAACAAGCCGTCTACTAAACAGTACATAAGGTATGTACATTTAATGTGTTTTCATATTTTGCTAGCACAATGTCAAAGGTAATAACGTTCTGATCTGTTTCTCCTCTCCTTTTCTTCCTAGAGGGGAAAATCTTCCAGGATGCTGGGCAATGAAACCAATTCAGGGTGATGAGAGTTGGTGTCACTTCCAATGGCTTTTAAACACAAACCTTAATGGATGGCTACCTCAATATGTTGTGGATTCTGCTTTTACAAATGTGATGTTAGAGTTTCTGGAACATCTAAGAGCATACACTGAGAAACTCAGCCAAGATTAGCTTCCTACTGTCCTATGGATGTGTTAAAATTTTAGAGGTCATCCTCACTGCCAATCCATCTTAGGTATTTTGAAGTCATGTGCTTATTCGTCCCTTCTTTCTAGTTATAAAGAACAGTTAGCTTAAATCAGGCAAATCTATGTGTTACTGATAGTTTCTTGTTCTCTTTTGAAGAGCGCAAGTCCTTATCTCTTAATTTCATGGGCTGAGAGAGTGTGCCAAGTGCGGATCCAGAGGAGGGGGGTTGGGGGTGGGGCTAAAGGACAATTGCCCCTCCCTTGACCATTGGATAGCCGCCTAAAAGGCAGGTAAAAAGCAACACTTTGCACCTGCAAGTAGGCAAAAAGTGCTACTTTGACACCCACCACCACCACCACCCGCCTCAGGCCGTCTCTGGATCCGCCAATGGACTCATGACATGCTGCAAGGGTTTTAGATATTAAAAAGAGTGTCATTCTGAAATTTTGTGGTACTTTTGGTTGGCAGCATATGTTGGCAGTCTAGTAATGGGCGTTATCTTTTTTTTTAAATCTATTACTAAGCTTTATTGTAATTGTGTCTCTTGGAAGCAAACTTTTCGCCTATCCAGCTGTGCAGTGCAGATCTCTCTCTCATTAAGTCAACACATTTTGGCTCGTGATGTACCAATTCTAAAGTTAGTTGAAAATTTTATAGGAAATACTTATGTCAAGTAGAATGTATTTTATCTATTTATGAAGACCCAACCCTGTAAAATTGTTAAGGGTCTGGTGATGTGCCAGAAGAACCAGTCATTCTCCATTCCAACATGACTTCCTAACTGACAAATCCTCATTGTCCATTAGTGTCTTTATCCAATTATAATCCCCATAGCTTTTTCTTATTTTTCTTCTTTAATTTGACTTGGAAGAGTATGGGGAGACTATATTTCGACCCTGTTAAACATGTTCTTAATTGTCTCTCTTCCCAATTTAGAGTTTCTGAATGGAGGAGGAGGAGGAGGGTAATTTTATTCGGATATTTACCTGATTGTTCACATTGGCCTGTTCATGGTTAGGGCCTGGAATTGGGATTCTGAAAAATTAGGACAATATATGTTGATTCCATTTTTCTTTTCTGCTTTTTTTTTTTTTTTTACTAGTTACCCTGTAAAATGTACAATTTTCCCTCAAAAGATTACCTGTCATTTGAACTTGGTATTGTGTGCCATAAAACCATCTCCACTTTTGAATAATGACCAAGGAACTGATAATTTTTTTATTATGATTATTAGAATTTCTTTACATTACATATATTCCTGTATGTTGTTTCATATAATAAATTTTTGTAAGAACTGCTTGAACTATTTTATATTCATTAACACACTTATTCTTAATACCTCATCTTCCCCCACACGAAAGAAAGGCCGTGCAAGAAAATAGCAAAGGGATTCTACAACACTTTGGGCAACACCTTAAATTTTCCATTTTTGAAAAGCAGTAGGTCGCGCGGGTTCCTGTCAATAGTTGCAATGTCTATTGGCAGGTGCCGGGGGGAGGGGGATTACTGAACAAACGCACGATTGTGTATAGGTTAGGATTTGTTTGAGTGATGTGAACAAAATATGAGAAAATGCTACTTTTGTTTAATGTCATTTCAAGACCAGTTTCTGCGCTCTTCAAGTTAAAATGGAGTCACATGAGGTCCACTGCGCCAATGTCCATCTATTTCAATATAAACGAAACTGGAGATTCTTATAATAAATTTAAAGATCATCATCCTCGATTGTATGTGATTGGAAATGGTTCCCGTCTGGCTTCGAAATGTGTGTTTTTGAAACAGTCTACGGCCCGGTAAGAACTGTTTCGAACGCATTTGGCCCCTTCAAGCTACTATGCTACTGTATTGTTTGCACCCGTCAACATTCCTACTTAACAGTTTTGACTTGCTCACTTTTCTTCTCTTTGCATCTTGTTTCTAGGATACTGTTCAACTGTGGCGAATCTGCAGATTTCAAAGGCGTCGCTGATTCTGTTTTTGTTACCCACATTGGGTGGGATAAAATAGGAGGCATCCCCAGTGTCATTTACAAAGCTTCAAGTTCAATGAGAGAACAGCTGTCTTTCTGTGGCCCACCAGGACTGGTAAGTTTATCAATCAAAAAATATCCAAATAATTTTTTATTTTCTGCATCACCTTTACGGGGATTGCTAACTTTTTCTACCCATTTTGTGTAACTTGTGAACGGTGTCGGAGATGTTGTATGAAGATCTTCTGCATCATGCTCGTACCATTTACGACACGAGTTACAGACATGAATCCAGCTAACATAAACATATCTGAGGTCAACTTGTTACATTGAGATTTGTTTTTACTGTACATATCTCTGAATATGCTTCCTGCTTTCCACAGGACTGTTTCATTCAGGCTTCAGAATCATTCCTAATGCTTCATAAAAAACTTAAAGTGAATATTCTGAATCCCAAATTGATGCACCAAAACATAGGAGACAATTATAAGGTGACATGTGTACCAATAAGGAGCAATACAAAAGTTGTTTACCGTCCATCTCCCATAAACAATTCAATGCTGAAAAGCTTTAATGGTATTTACAATCCCTATTCAGCTCGCAAGCCAAACGAGCTAAGTAAGTATCTTTTTCGCACAGAAAAAAATGTTGCACTTATGAAATTTTTTTATAATTTTAAGGAAACAAAAATATGCATCAACTCAAATCTTTTTGCAGTCACATCGTGTTCGAAGGACTATGACTTTAATGTTAGCAATAGCTACATTGTGGAAAGTGGTGGTTGTAAGAACTGGCGATTTTCACAATGTGTATTACGAGGTGTGCAGCCTGGAGAGCAGATGCTGAAGCTTTGGCAAGGAGAAAGTATTACTGTTGAAGATGGTAGCATAGTAAAACCAGAAGATGTAATTAGTTTCAATTCATGCTCATCCGTAATAGGTTTGTTTCATATTTGTATTGGTTTACTGGTGTTTGAGGTAGTTGGTCATAACCATAGTCTTTTCTTTACCATAGTAATAGACTGTCCTTCAGAGAATTTCCTGGACGACCTCCTTAGTAAGGAGGATTATGAAAGGTATTATGATTCATCAGTGGTAATGGTCCATTTCACACCATTGGCTGTTATGGAAGATAAAAGGTATTCTAAACTATTTTGAACAGTAATCGTTGGTCTGAAAAGAAGTGATTTCTTTCATGCTGTTTCCCTTATCAAAGGTATATAACCTGGATGCAACGTTTTAAAAAGAACACTAAGCACGTGGTAGTGAATGATTCTAATGAATGGGAAAGTTCTCCCAGGGTACTGAACAAACAAAAAATTTGTCGATCCATTCATCCAAGGTTTTACCCTGAACTGCAACAACGTAGTAAAGATCAAACCAATATATCAGCATCTGAATCTCTAGAAAAACTTACTTCATTAGATTCGGTAGATGGCACTCTTGTTGTTAATGCAGTTCCATCTGAAGAATGGTTACAGAAATGGAGTGATGAGATGAGAGAGTTTGATTTAGTCCAGTCTCAGACTGGCTTAAATGTTAACTTGAAAGGTCTGGAATGTACAAGGTAGGTGTTCTTTTCTTCCCCACTTAATTACTGTTCTCAGCCAGTTAAAGTCAATCTCTTTTTACCAAAAATTTGTTTGATGGGATCAAAGACCCTAAAATTACTTGCAATTATTTCCCCCTTCTGATTTATTTATTTATTCATAAGCGTGGCCAAGAAAGCGTGGGCTAAGTTATTTAATCCGATTTTATTTTTTTAAATTAATTGTCACAGTTTACCAGTATGTCAGGCAATTTTTTTTTCTGGTTTGTTGCTTTATGAAATTCCTATTTTGTAGGCACTTTGAACCTTTTGAAATATCATGTCTTCCTGATGAAACAAAATATGGTGAAAGTCTGAAAACACCACCTACATTTTCTCCAAAGAATCCAAGGATCACATTTTTAGGAACTGGTTCACAAGCTAGTTCAGCATATCGAAATGCATCTGCTATTTTAGTGCAGATTAGGTATGTACCTTAATTGTTTGTATGTACAATAATTTTCCAAATTTTGTGAGTAATGTTCTGATGAATTAATTTCCTACAGTTCTGACTCAAGTATGTTGATTGATTGTGGAGATGGCACGATTAAACAATTTGTAACATTGTTTAATGATAGCGAATTACTGGAGGTTCTTACTTCATTAAGATGTATTTATATTTCACATACACATGCAGACCATCATGCAGGTGTAATAGGAGTTTTACTTGCCATCCAAAAAGCTTGGAAAGCTTTAGGGAAACCACAGAAAAATATAGTTTGTCTTCTCCCTGCCCCTATTATTGGCTGGCTTCACCATTATCATACTTATATTGAGCCTATTCTAGATCATGTTGTACTTATAAATTTAGTTGATATGGTAAGTCTGTTCCATCAATTCATTTTAAATCTTCAAATTTTTATCCGCTTCTTCTGTTCTTTCATGCTTCTTTTTCATTTCATAGATGTCTGATAATATAGTTCATAGGAGGGAACTTAACCAATTTTTCAAGAACCATTATGGCATGATAAATACAAAAGTGTGTTGGGCCATTCATAGTACATACTCGTACTGTGTTTCATTTGAACACTCAGCTGGATGGCAAATAAGTTATTCAGGAGACACAAGATACAATCATTATTTTGTGGAAATGGGTATGTATTTGTAATGTTTTCTCTCCATTTGCACAAAACATGATATTTTTACAGAACTCGTGACCCACAGGCAGAAATAGTGATCTCTTGATTCATGAGGCAACATATGGTTCCGGACTTGATAAAATGGCAAAGATAGCAAGGCATAGTACAACAGAAGATGCCATTAGAGCTGGTAAGGCAATGAGGGCAAAAAATATCATATTAACACATTTTAGTCGCCGATACCCAATTATCCCCTGCTTGGGGGATTTAAAGAACACTGAAAATGTTGCAGTAGCAATGGACTTCTTACAGGTAATTCTTTGATTTCTTGGGTCCTTTAACTGTTTTTCTCTACCTAAATGGTAAAGAAAAATTGAGTCTCAACTTATACTTTCTTACTTTTTGTGCCCCTCAGGTTACCCTTGATGACTTGCATCTCTTGCCAAAATTGCATGAAGACTATGAAGTTGTCTTTGACATGTATGAACAGAAAAATGTAGATAGAAATAAGTCTCTTAAAAAGAGAAATAGTTAATGATATCTTATTGCTATAAAATACATTAAATTTTTACAGTAAAAGTCAGATAGTCTTAATGGTTATTCAATGTAAACCTCAAATCAATTTACTTAAATAAATTATATCACAGTTACTTATATGACACATCCAACAAATTTATTGCCTATGGACAATGAGGTACTCTCTTGTTTATGCAAAATACTGACTGAAAAATTCATTTAATATGTTCTATATAAATTCAATACCCTCATATTTGATATCTGCTATTTTGGTTTCAGGAAGTAGGATTTCACCCTTAATACTAAATATCATTGCATATGTTGCTGATCCTTGAGGAACCTCTTCAGACTTCAATGCTACTATGATCTCATCTTCAGTATCAGGGATAAATTTAAAACTGGAAAATCCATGTGTTGGAATGACTTCTCCTACTTTGGTTACCTGCAAGACATCCATCCACCATGAAAGCATAAAAATTCAGAAGGTAAAGGGGGTTGAGACAAGGGTTTAAAAGAATCACACTTGACACTTCTCTCCTCGCTTAAGTTACTTACTTCAACATTTGAGAAGTTAGAATCTGTTGTTAGGATCAGATTTGTTCCTTGATAAGGATCGGTATCTTCATGGTAGCGCTCTTTCGACTGTCTTCGAGGTAGGAAGAACCATTTTTGGTGGATGTTGCTCCATGTGGCACATTCATGAATCATATATCCTACAATAGGAAAATTATATGTAAGTAAAAATAACTTTCAAACATCACTATTCCTTTTTGGGTGAAGTTACTGACCAGGAAATTCAATGCCAACGGCTCTTCTCAGTTTCTCGTAATTGCTTCTCCAATCATGATGAGAAACTTGCCCTGTTGGTTGTATTTGCTTGGTCCACATTGGATCAGTGTTCACCAACTCTCCTGCTGGTGTTGTCCATTCCTTTCCAAGCCCACCAACATGCAATACCTTGTCTTTGACAGTAGCCCATTCCGACTTAAATCCTTTGGGCCTTCGTCCATCCCCATTGGTAAGAAGCACCCAAGGTATAGCTTTAGAGCCATCAATTTCATAAACTATGCCAGTTCTATCATCTGGTGCATAGAGTCTACCATTGTAGACAACAAGTTCAGATAATTCCATTCCTCTACCCCCTTGACCAAATGTACTTTTCAACTTGATTGGATCAGAATCCCACTTAATACTTGCGGTGTGATGAACACGATCCCAAGTGAGGTGGCCTTTCTTGAAATAGCTTACCCATGTGCTTGACTCAGAGTTGCTTTTAGAGTCAGTGTCTAAATCGCTAATAATACCTATCCTGTATGTTACTCCAAAAGCAGTTTTAACTGCAGGAGTTAAAGGGTAAGTAGAGTTGTAAGAGTCACTAGTTTGTGGAACAATATAATTACTGATTGGAATAGAATCATAACGCTCTGAATAAAGATAAGACTTGTGATTTCTACTGGGAGGTGACAAGGTATACCAAACTATTAATACAAGTAACCCAACAGCTGCTATCATACAAACAAAATGGGTTTGGATCCTCAGAGTACTATTGCCTACTCGGTACATAGGTGGGGTCGTGAGAGCCTGTCGCCAGTCGCGCAGAGACATGTCTTTAGGTAAAGGGATTCTCTCCCTCACAACAAAATCATCAACTGACATAACAACTTCAGCTCCAATGTAAATACTGAGCCCTAACCTAAGAATGGGTGCTTGCACAGCTGAGATGGCAGATGATGGCGGCGAGAGGTTAGCGGGCGGGCTGAGCTGGAAGAGAGGGGGGGGAGACAGGGGGAAGTCTCGCGCTCGCGTGGGGCGTAAGGCGACAGTTTTTCTTCCGTTTCAAGATTCCTTGAATTACACTTTTTCAGCCAACCGGGCTGGCGAAAGATCACTTTTTCCATGTCAAACACTTCTGAAAGAGACTGAAACGACTACAAAGCTGGAAAAAGTTGGGGGAAAGCACAGCCAAATATTAAAAGTTGGCACTTCCGAACGTAGCTAGGAGTTGGCGGGAAATACAGAACCACCCTGGCCCTTGCGCTCCAGTTTTGGAAATGCGCGTAAATCAGCTGCCTATTATACTTTAAATCTGAAACGGGCGGGAAAGTGCAAAAGCAGATGCGACAACGGCCGCGCGGCCGGCCAGGCCTATCCCCAAAGCCTAACCGACCGAACGACGAGGGGTGACCCACTGTAAAATGATTTGTGAATGTGAATGTGCAAGAATGTGCAAGATTTCTGGCGTTTTTGCCACACATGTTGCCTACTTACAGCCGATTTTGCCACCTGAATGTGGAATGTGGTCAAATTTTGTACAACGAATGTGGGAAGCTGTTCCCCCCTCGCCGAACGACCAAAAGCCGAGGCAAAGGCAGCGGGCAGGCGTCAGCAGCATCAGCGTGTTGCATGGGGCGGTCAGCGGACTGATTCGGAGAGTCGTTTGCGTCGCCCTGCCTCCTGTCTCTCTCGCACCTGTACGCAACCGTGACTTTCGAGAGAGAGAGCGACGAACTCCCACCTCGAAAAGGCGGCCGTCCTTCGTCCAGGACACGTGCAGGTCCTCGTACAGCAGGGCGAGCTGCAGCGCCCCGCAGGCCAGGCGCAAGGGCAACGTGCGGCGCGCGCGCACGACGCGGCGCACGGCCAGGGCCCACACGCGCAGCACGACGCGCCGGCCGCCCTCGCCCAGGGCGCCCAGCGCCACGCACGCCCACGCGCCGCTGTCCGAGCCGCGGGCCCGCAGCACGCGCACGCCGCCCCGCGACACCTCCCTGTGGCAGAAGAGCGGCTTGTCTACCTCGCACTAACAGGACTCGAACCGAACGTGTGACCCCACGAATGGATTCCTCATTCGGAGAGCAATCCATTGGTGGGGTCACACGTTCGGTTCGAGTCCTGTTTAGCGACTCTGGGGCTCAAAACGCGTCTAGAGTGCCTCCACCGGCATGCTTACACGCGGCCTTCCTCGGGGAGCACACGCTCCCCGTTGGCCAGCCAGACGACGTAGGCGGCGGGAGCCTCGTCGCTCAGGGCCTCCACGGCGTCCCGGCCGCACCGCAGGCGCAGGCGCGCGCCGGGCTTGGTGCGCAGCTGGCGCGCGGGGGGCTGCTGCAGGCCGCGGTGCAGGCGCCGCACGCTGGCGGGGCTGAGCTGGCCGCACGCCCACTCGTTGCACGGGCCGTGGACGCGGTCCTCGCCGGCGCACGGCCGGCCCAGGATGTTGGGCGCCGGGTTGGTGCACGTGCGCGTGCGTTGGCCGTGGCCGCCGCCGCAGCGCACGCTGCACGCCCACGGCCCCCAGGGCGACCAGGCGCCGTGCACGGCCTCGCCGGACAGGGCCGCGGGGTTGCAGTTGGCGGCCCAGCTCACCGTCCGGCCGTCCGCCCCGTAGTCGGCGCCCACGGAGAACAAGTAGGCGAGCGCGCGGCCCTGCCATCGGAACACCTCCGTGCCGTTGCGGGCCACCGTCACCTGCAGCACGACCAGCCCGACGAACCTCTCAACCTCTCAGCCCCCCAGGCCCCCCCAGGACGCGACAGCCTGCGCAGTGGGCCAGAAGACCGGTGGAGGCGGACCAAACTCTAAACGCGTTTTGAGCTCTGAATGGGACTTGAACCGAACGTGTGACCTCCACCAATGGATTTCTCTCCAAACACACGTTCTGTTCGAGCCCCAGCGACTCTGGAGTCAAAACGCGTCCGGGATTTCGGCCGCCTCCGCCGGTCTTCTGGCCGGCAAATCCACTGTGCGACGGCACCCTTCCCTCCGCACCTCGCCGACGCCCAGGGTGAACTGGAAGTGCGTCCAGGCAGCGTGGCGCAGCACGTCGTCGTGCAGGGTCACCCTCTTGAGGATGTCGCCGCCCGTGCCGTTGAGTAGCACCACGTTGGTGCGCAAGGCGCCCAGGCGGAACACCAGCGGGGGCTCCAGGTCCTCGGGCAGCCTGTAGAGCGCCACCAGCGCCACGCCCGTGCCTTGCAGCGACACTCGCAGCGTCTGCGTGCGTTCCTCTGCAAGCCAGGATCACCCTGGTGCTGGTCAGTCCCCGTCCTCTGAAGAAGATTGTTTGTTGCTCCCCCAAGAACACGAAACGCTCACAGTGACGTCATTTTGATGTCAACATGACAAATTTTTAGTCAAAATTTCGACCAAAAGTAAAGCATCATTTTGACGTCAGTTTGACGTCTTTTAAATGCTTCGTGAGTGTTTTGTGTTCTTTGGGTCTGTCTCTCTTGCACCTAGACGGGACGCCCCATGAGCGCGAGAGAGACAAAGCTCGGAATCTGTCTGCAGCTCTGCGCGTACGCTTGGACCGCAGCCGCCAGAGGTTGATGGGGAACAGCTTGGTGAAGAAGTCCGTGTCGACGCGCTCGATGAGGCAGTCCGTGGGGCACTCGAAGTGCAGGCCGATGGCGTGGCGCTGCACCGAGTGGTAGCGCAGCACGACGGGCGTGAAGGCCTCGCCCTGCTTGTACGGCCAGTCGAAGATGGGCGCCTCTACCTGGATGCACCGCCATACATACCGCCGATACACAGTGGGCCAGAAGACCGGTGGAGGCGGCCAAAGTTCTAGAAGCGTGCGGCACACAGTGGGCCAGAAGACCGGTGGAGGCGGCCAAAATTCTAGACGCGTTTTGAGCTCCAGTCGCTAAGTGTGACTCGAACCGAACGTGTGACCCCACCAATCGATTTCTCGTTCAGAGAGCAATCCATTGGTGGGGTCACACGTCCGGTTCGAGTCCTGTTTAGCGACTCTGGAGCTCAAAACGCGTCTGGAGTTTTGGCCGCCTCCACCGGTCTTCTGGCCCACTGTGCGGCATGACCTCCTGGACCTACCCCTTGCTGGCCGAGCTGGACCCTCCCGATAGGGAAGCGCAGCCACAGAGACGCCCACTGGCCCGCCGACACGATGTGCGGCACGGTCTTGGCGTTGAGGATTTCTTCGCGGCCGTCCCGCTCGCGGACCGTCCCCACCGCGGTGGCGCTCCCCACGAAGGAGAAGGTGATCTTCTCGTTCTTGTCCGCGCCGATGGCCAGCCGGTGGAAGCCCTCCGTGCCCCGTTCGTCCTCCTCGGAGGGCTTCAGGTCGAACACGAAGCCGTCCGACAGTTCCGGGTTCCACTCCTGCTCCGCGCCAAATGCAGGACGCTCTTTTACCAACTGGTTTTCGTTTTTCGGCCCATTGACGCGTCCACGCTGCCACGCACCTACAGTGTACCTTGAGGGAGAACTGGAGGCGCCCCATCCTCCAGGCGGGCAGAATGTACAGACCGCCGCGACCACTCTCCGCCTCCCCGCCGCGGTAGATGACGGTGCACTCCTCGGGCTTGGCGCAGTCGCGCACGTCGCAGAGGTCCGTGGCCACGCCTGCCACGCCGGCGTCCTCAGTGAAGCACCACGTGCCTGCCGAGGAGCGGGACGGGTTCCGGCAGAAGTTGCTGTATCAAGTCGATCTCAACATAAACCACCACACAGTGGGCCCGAAGACCGGCGGAGGCGGCAAAACTTCTAAACGCGTCTCGAACCGAACGTGTGACCCCACCAATGGATTGCTCTCTGAACGAGAAAACCATTGGTGGGGTCATACGTTCGGTTCGAGACGCGTCTAGAATTTTGGCCGCCTCCACCACCGGTCTTCTGGCCCACTGTGCACCGCGGCGCCAAAACGTGACAGTTCCGCCTCGCCCGTCGCACCTGGCCTCGGTGATGTTCTGCTCGGGGTACAGGGAGTCGTTGGCGACGCGGGGCGAGGCCGCGAGCGCCCAGGGCCGGCACGGCAGCCCGGAGCGCGACACGTTGCGCGTGCCCATGTAGTCGTTGGCGGTGCCGGCCAGGCGGCAGTGCGCCGCGCGGCACTCCCTCACCGCGCACTTGGCGGCCACGGCGCCGTCCGGCGACGCCACCATGCAGAAGGGCGCCGTCGGGGCGGCGCCGCCGTCCTCGGGGGGCACCGCGGGGTTGCGGCAGCGGTCCAGCGCCGCCTCGCGCGAGCCGTCCGGGAAGAGGGAGTCGTCGCGCAGCTCCGCGGGCAGCTCAACGTCGGGCGCGGACCAGGGCAGGCAGGGCAGCCCCGTCGCGGTGGTCCACTCGCTGCCGGAGTACGTGGCGGACGACTGGGGAGGGGACCTCAACGTTCACTACTTCGGCGGGAGAGTAGACAGTGAGGGTTCCTAAATAGACCTGAAGACGCCGGACGCAGCAGAGCGGGCCAAAAGACTGGCGCAGGCGGCGCAGGCGGCACGCGTTTTGAGCTCCAGAGTCGCTAAACAGGACTCGAACCGAACGTGTGACCTCACCAATGGATTCCTCGTTCGGAGAGCAATCCATTGGTGGGGCCACACGCTCGGTTCGAGTCCCGTTTAGTGACTCTGAGCTCTCAAAACTTGTCTCGAGTTGTGGCCACCTTCGCCGGTCGTCTGGTCCACTCCACTGTGCGCAGGGTGCGCAGCTCACCCCCGGGCGGTGACACTCGGGCGGCACGGGCGGCGCGGGGTCCGGGGGCTTGCAGAACAGCGTGAAGGCCGCCACGCCGCGCAACGCGGCCACGCCGAACCAGCGCGCGCCGCGGACGTCCTCCGGCACCTCCGTCTCGAGCAACGCCACGCCGGGGCCCGCCAGCGCGCGCGCCCACAGCGAGAGCACGCCCGTGGAGGCGCTCAGCGTGATGGACAGCTCGCGCCACGACCACCATGACAGCAGCTCGCCCGAGGCCGCCTGCCGGAGAGCATGTCGGCGTCCGTCGGTCGGGTTAGCAAATGAAGGC